CACTATTATTCAACACTAGAGGCCCAGTGCACTAATTCGTGCATGGGTGGGGTCCAGCCAGCCTTCCCCGATCTGGACAATCAGGGCCAGGGGGCGGGGCTGTGGGAGGTTGGCCAGCTGGCCCTGCTCCCGATTGGGCCGGTTGGCCAGCTGCAGTGTGCGTCATAGCGACCGGTCATTCTGGTCATTCTGGTCATTCCAGTCACTTGGCTTTTATATATATATAGATAGTACTAGAAATCCTAGTCACAGCAATCAGATAAGAAGAAAAGGGGGAAAAGGCATCTATTAAGAAAAGAAGATGTAAAACTGCCATTATTTACAGATGACATGATACTATATGTAGTGAACCCTAAAGATTCTACCAAAAAACTAATAGAACTGATCAATGAATTCAGAAATGTAGCAGGATATAAAAGAAATATTAAGAAGTGGATCATATTTTTGTATACAAAAAAAGAACTATCAGCAAGGGAAACTAAAAAAAAAATCCATTTATAATCATATCAAAAAATAATGAAATACATAGAAATAGATTTAGCAAAGGAGGTAAAGAACCTGTTCTCAAAAAATAGTAATATTTGAAGAAAGAAATCAAACAAGATACAAAAAAAATGGAAGCATATATCATTTTTATACTTAGAAGAAATTAACATCATTTAAATGTCTATATTACCTAAGCAATCTTTAGGTTCAACACAATTCCCTATAAAAATACCAATGGTGTATTTCACTGAACTAGAACAAATAACCCAAAGATTTATGTGAAACCTTAAAAGACTTAAAATAGTCACAGCAAACTTGAGAAAGAAGAGCAAAGTTAAAGGTATCAGGCTACCTGATATCAAATTATTAGTGGCCCAGTGCATAAAGATCATGTGGGGGGGGGGGTGTCCCTCAGCCCAGCCTGCATCTTCTCCAATCGGGGACCCCTCGGGGGATGTCCGATCCTTGTGGGATCTGGCCTAAATCGGTAGTTGGACATCCCTCTCGCAATCCGGAACCGCTGGCTCCAATCTGCTCACCTGCCTGCCTGCCTGATCAACCCTAACAGACTCCCCTTCCAGCCTGATCACCCCCAACTGCCCTCCCCTGCCGGCCCAATCGCCCCTAACCACCTCTACCTCAGCCCCACCACATGGCTTTGTCCGGAAAGATGGCCGGAGGGTCTCCCGGAAGGTCTTTCGGTCTAATTAGCATATTACCCTTTTATTAGTATAGATACTACAAGGCTAGTAATTAAAACAGAATGGCACTGGCATAAAAGCAGACATATAGGTCAATGGAACAGAATAGAGAGCCCATAAATAAACCCATAACCATATGTTTAATTAATATTTAACAAAGGAAGCAAGAGGAAATATTGGGTAAAGATAGTCTGATAAGTGATTTTTGATAAATTGTACAGGTACATATAAAAAATGAAACTAGATCACCTTCTTATATCACATACAAGGAAAATCTCAAAATGGATTAAAGATAAATGTCAGACTCAAAACCATAAAACTAGAAAAAAAATAGAAAGTAAAATCTCTGACATTTCTCTTAGTAATTGTTTTTCTGATACATCCCCTCTAGTAGGGAAAAATAAATAAAATAGAAACAAATGGGACTACAACAAACTAAAAAGATTTTCTACAGCAAAGAAAACTATCAACAAAACAAAAATACAATCTACTGAATGTGGGGAGCTATTTGCTAATGATACATCTGATAAGGGGTTTATATTCAAATTTATAAAGAACTCATACAACTCAACACCAAAATAACAATCCAATTAAAAATGAGTAGATAATCTGAATAGACACTTCTCCAAAGATGACATACATAGAGATCTGAAAAGATGCTCAACATCACTAATCATCAGAGAAATAAACATTAAAACCAGAATGAACTATCTCCTCATACCTTTCAGAATGGCTATCTACACTAATAATAGACAAATATGTAAATTGACCATACCTCCATGACACCCGACAGCCAATCAGGAAGGAATATGCAAATTAGCGGGACAAAGATGGCAGCAGCCACGGAGCCAGCCAGAGTGGGCAGGAGGCTTGGGTTTCCCCCGGCAATGGAGGAAGCCAAGCTTCCCACCAGCCTGGGCTGGCTGCCAAAGGAGGGGCCTGTGGGCGGCAGCCACAGAGCTGGCCTGAGCTTGTGGGAGGCTTGGGTCGCCCGGGCCGGCGTCTGAGGGAGGGGCCTGTAAACGGCCCTCAGCCCCTCACCCAAGCTGGCCATGCCCCCCCAGTGGGGACCCTCACCCATGGGGGTGTGGCTGGCCTGCAAACTGCCCCAGCCCCATGCCCAGGCTGGCACCTTCCCCAGTTTGGACCCCCACCTGATCCGGGATACCCTTCAGGGCAAACCAGCCAGCCCCCACCCATGCACCAGGCCTCTATCTATACTAATAAAAGGGTAATATGCTAATTAGACTAGGAGTCCTTCCAGGAGACCTTCCAGACTTTCTTCTGGACAAAGCCATGGTGGCGGGGCTGAGGTAGAGGCGGTTAGAGGCCAAGAGGAGATGGCAGTTGTGGGTGATCAGGCTGTTGGGGGGGCCGTTGGGTGTGATCAGGCCGGAGGGGGAGGGCGGGGCAATTCGGGGTGAGCAGGCCATCAGTGGTAGTCAGTTGGGGGCAGGCATGGCCAGCCTGAAAATGGCCCTCAGCCCCTTACCCAGGCTGGCCAGGCACCCCAGTGGGAACCCCCACACTGAAGAGGGTGTGGCCAGCCTGAAAACATCCCCCAAGGGGTCCCAGATTGGAGAGGGTGCAGGCCGAGCTGAGGAACACCCTCCCCCCCTCCCCCCATGCATGAATTTCATGCACCGGGCCACTAGTCCTATATAATAAAGAGGTAATATACAAATTGACCATCACTCCAACACACAAGATGGCTGCCCCCATGAGGACACAAAATGGCCACCACAAGATGGCCGGCAGAGGAGGGCAGTTAAGGGTGACCAGGCCAGCAAGGAAGCAGTTAGGCGTCTATCAGGCTGGCAGGGGAGTGGTTAGGGGGTGATCAGGCTGGCAGGCAGAAGTGGTTAGGGGCAATCAGGCAGGCAGGCAGGTGAGCAGTTGGGACCCAGCAGTCCTAGATTGTGAGAGGGGATGTCCCAGATTGGAGAGGGTGCAGGCTGGGCTGAGGGACACACACACCCCTCCCCCATGTACTAATTTTGTGCGCTGGGCCTCTAGTCATTAATAAAGCAACAAACAGCCAGTGCTGGCAATTATATGACAAAAGGGAACCCTCATGCACCATTGGTGAGAATACATTGGTGCAGCCATTGTGGAAAGCAGTATGGAGTTACCTCAAAAAATTAAAAATGGAACTGCCTTATGACCCAGCAATTCCTCTTCTGGAAATTTATCTGAAGGAATCAAAACACTAATTTGAAAGAACATATAATGAACATAAACTGGTGAACAAAAATAGAACCAGAGACATAGAAGCATTGAACAGACTGTCCAACCTATGAGGGAAGGCAGATGGTAAGGGTGTAAGAGATCAACCAAAGGACTTGTATGCATGCATATGAGCATAACCAATGGACACAGACAGTAGGGAGATGAGGGCATGTGCTGGGGGATGGGAGGAGCCAGGGAGAGGTCATTGGGGGGGAAAAGATGACTCATGTAATACTTTAAACAATAAACAATTTAAATTTAAAAAATAATAAGCAAACAGATATAGATATATTGCCTATATATCTGTACATATTATCTCACATATGTACAATATCTATCTATCTATTAGCAAATTCTGGTTTAAATTACAGATGCATCATTTATTAAAAAAGAAGGAAGGAAGGAAGGAAGGAAGGAAGGAAGGAAGGAAGGAAGGAAGGAAGGGAGGGAGGGAGGGAGGGAGGGAGGGAGGGAGGGAGGGAGGGAGGGAGGAAGAAAGAAAGAAAGAAAGGAAGAACATATGCACCTCTATGTTCATAACAGCATTATTTACAATAACCAAGATATGGAAGCAACACAAGTGCCCATCAGTAGAGATTGGCTATAGAAGTAATAGTACATGAATATTAATAGAATATTACTGGACTACTAATAAAAGAATGAAGTCTTACCATTTACCACAGAATGGATGGACCTAGAGGGTATTATGCTAAGTGAAATAAGTTAGGCAGACAAATGTAAATATCATATTATTTCACAGGACAAAACAAATGAACAAACACAAAAGAAACAGACTCATAGATATGGAGAACAAACTGATGGTAGCCATAGAGGAGGTGGGGTGGGGTATTGGGTGAAATATTAAGGGGATCAAAAAGTGCAAATGGATAGTCACAAAATAGTCACAGCATAGGGAGTATAGTCAATAATAACTATGTATATATGGTGCCAGGTGGGTACTGAAAATATTGGGGGGAGGAGGGACACTTTAAATTATATAATTGTCTAATCACTATGCTGTATACCTGAAACTTAAGAAAAAAATACATTTTTAAATGGTTATCATACAGAGTCTAAGTATAGGTTGTTTATATTAATAAAAGCCAAATAACTCCAGAATAAACTTTGGCTTATTATCAGTAAAGTGGTAAGAGTCTAGGTTCCAGTATGTGCAATGGACCCATAAGTCTTTCAGTGGTTACTGAATACTCTACTTGTGAAGGACTGTGCTTGATTCTCAGCTGAGGGAAATCTCTTTTATTAAAAAAGAAAATATTTTCATTTTTTCCACTTTATAGCAAAGATCTTTCCATGCCCCCCCAAAGCTAAATATTCTTAACATATATTAGAGATTATTTTGACTTATATTGATACATATCTGAAATGAGTATTGACATAAATTTTATATTGCATTATGCATAATTAATGTGCATAACTAATTATTACAAATTAATGAATTAAGACACCTCTTTTGTTAAGTGAATTTGTATTTGGAATTTTTACTATCAAAATGTCAACCTCAATTTCTTTGAATACTTAAAAAAAACACTCATTATATATTTTCATAGCAGCTGTTAGACATACATGCCATTCCACATTGTCATCTTCTTTCCTAAGAGTTAGCAACGTGGTGAGTGGATTTCCAGTGATGCCTGGGTCACTCTCCGGGGACGGGTGTGCATGCTGTACCACAAGCGCACTGCTTTGCGTTGAAGGGTGGGACCGTTTAATAGTCTGATTGAGGATCTGATGGTCAAGGGTCATGGAGGGTTTTACTTGATGTCTGGCAGGACTTTCCAGGTGTGTGGGGACCTACAAAATATAAAACAAACAACTGCTATGTGTACCATCATCTGGCATTTCAAAGTTCCATTCTCAATAATCGAATTACTAGGCGCCCAATGCACGAAATTGTGTAAGAGTAGGCCCTCACAGCCCCGGCTCATCTGGAGAGTCATCCAGAAGGTCGTCCAGATAGTTGTTTCGCTGTTTGGCCGTTCAGACTATTTGCATCTTACGCTTTTATTATTATAGATGGCAATAAACACACTATAACATCTAGTTTCTCTCAAATTTATGGTTCAAAGTTTACTAAAATCGTTTAAATGCTAGCCATGTTTTTAAGAATAACCCTCAAAATTACATGCAAATAAAACAAAATTGGGAATAAACATATAACTAGCATTACTTTTTGAGGGTCTCAAAAAGAAAGGTTGAAATAATACAAGGAAAGTACAGTTGATTCATTATTATTAGTGATTTTTGTATTTCATTAGATTCCTTTACATTACAAATATAAATATTCTATAGGATATAATAACAACTATTTTTTATTTAATTTTTTAAATTACCCAGGAAGGAGCAGAAACAAGAAATATATATACTAAATATTAAGTGTAGTATTTTATGGGTGGTGAAAATCTAGGTGATTATTTTCACTTTTCTATATTTTTTAGTTTCTATACCAGGCATATTTAAATTTTTTAATAATCTTATTTTTAAACCCTTCCATATTCCCACTTTATAAAAACAAAACTTTGGGAGAGTCATTCTGAATGACAGAAAAAATGGTCTAATATTTTGAAACTCCTTTTTCAAATCACAGACTTAATATTCTGAGCATCTTGAGTCTAGCTGTCATAGTTAACAACATACCATTATTTGTATGAGGACAACTTTAAGCATTTCAAGCTTTCCTCTTAAAAGCTCAGGAAAGCCTGCCAGCCCTCTTTATATTAACTAAGCTGTGATGTGGATACATTTTCCTCAAGTGGCCTATTATAGACCTAATTAATATTTCCCTCATGTTAAACAATAGTAAAGATGGCTGCACAGTGCTTATTTTTTGTTTATTTCAGTTACACAAACTACTCCTTAAAGCCCTTAATATGCATTAATTCAGATAAATAGCATTTATGAAGTATTTTGCATTTAAATTAGCTGGTTTGGGGTACCATATTGTAGTAGTTACTTTAGTTTAATTTTGTTATGCTGACATTTTTAGCATTATTTTAATTGTACTGCCATAAAATAATTTTCAGTCATATAACAAAAGATTAAGATTGGTAATAAAGATTTTACATGTTACTAATTATATTATTATGAACTTTAAATTTGTGCTGGTAAAATAACATTGCATTAAAATGTCATGGGTAATTTTTTAGGGTAGCTGTTTAGATTATCCTACAGTTTTAAGTTTATTCTTCTTCATCTAGATGCATTTATGAAATATACATTATAAGTACTATTTTCATATTCACAAATCTGAATCTCTTACACAATGTAACTAAATGCTAGAGTACATTGTATATCTACAAATGGAAAATATCTCTTCTAAAAAAAAGTATGTTGAATCAGAACTTATAGCATTAACTAATTCATTTTTCACTTTTCATCCACTGGCTAGGAAAGTTTCATTAGAGTGCTTGCATTTGTGTTACATCAGGACCACAAGAGAAGTCACAGAGGTGATCCCAGGGCCCTAGACGTTTTCCATCTAAGGCACTATTAATATCAACTACAACAAAAGCAATAATAATGACAATAATATGCAATAGTTACCAACCACTGTGCTAAGCAATTTACCCACATTCATTTAATCCTTGGGAGAGCCTTAGGAGATAGGTTCCCTTGCAGCATGTAGATGAAGCCACCGAGACTTAGAGATAAAGTGACTACATGTTACCACTCCTCAAGAAAGGGATGAAGCCAGAATCCAGACCCTGTCATCTTAAACATTACACTTATTGGCTCAGTAATGTATACAACAAATTTAAAATGCCACACAAAGAAGTGGTTATAAAAAACTAATTAAAAGATAAAACGGTTATAAATCAGGTGTTGGAAGGAGATGGTCTTGCATAAGGAGAAAAGAAGGAAATCTCAAATGCAAAATATAAAAATGAAACAATAAAGGACATTGGAAGTCACAAAGTCGTGAAAAGGAACTCATAGAAATACCTTCCTTTCTCAGAGCAAGACTGCCATGTCCTCTTTAGACCACTCTATACAGAGAGAAAATAAAGTATAAAATGGAACCAACTCTAATTCTGCCTAAATTATTGGTTACTTAAGGAATTCCAAATGTTTAGCAGGCAAAAGTGAAGACTAACTTGGACCCAATCCATGTAACACCTGTAAACGAAGCAGAAGAGTCTAAAAGCTCAGTAGAGTAGACAAAGAATCAATGGAATGGAATGAAGCTACTGCCCAGAAAAATTTCTATGTTTTCTAATCATGGACTGATATCAGAACAATGACACAACTAAGCGTAAAACATCAGTTCAATCATATGAGCCAATTTAAAAATAATTTTACATTGCCTGGGATCTAAGGATACAACTATAAAACTATGTATTAGAGCTGTTTCACTGAAGGTCCCAGTATTTGTCTGGATGAAGTGAATGAAACTATAGGTTGCCATTGTTCATTTATTCACTTATGTAAAAAATACGTTTTCTGCCCTAGCCCAGGAGCTCCGTTGGTTGGAGTGTTGTCCCAGTACACCAAGTTTGCAGGTTCATTCCCCAGACAGGGCACATAGAAGAATCCACCAATGAATATATAAATAAGTGAAACAAAAAAAGTCTATCTCTCTCTTTCAAATCAATAAATTTTTTAAAAAAAATTTTTAAGAAATATGTTTTCAGTGCCCAGAATGTGTGTACGGAATGGTACACTGAAGGTAGAAAGGAGATAGTTGCAGTGTCTGCCTTCAAAGACCTTGCAGTCTAGGCATGGTCTAGACAGGAAAGAAAAATACATGATCTCCAATGCTAGCACTGTGTTTACTTTGCTGGCTGCTATATTGTCATATTTCCTACACACAACCCAGATTCTTTTTTCTTTTTTATGTTTGTACTGATTTTAGAGAGGAAGGGAGAGGGAGAGAGAGATAGAAACATCAATAATGAGAGAGGGAGAGAGAGATAGAAACATCAATAATGAGAGAAATCATTGATCAGCTACTTTCTGCATGTGCCCTTGACCAGAATCAAACCTGGGACCCCTCAGTCCACAGGCTGACTCTCTATCCACTGAGCCAAACCAAATAGGGCCGCACAATAGGCTTCTTAAAATATGTAAACTGCATGTATTCAATGAATTATTGAATGAATGGGTCAACAAAGTAGAGTGTATGATTAACTTTAGTGACATTAGAGAGCTTTGGGAATCCACAACAGAAACAGATAAACCATTATCAGAGTAACAGTCTTAATCTAGCAAGCTGAAGCAGCTATATGTTGTGATTTGATTCATTAACCTGTGAAAGAGATTAAGACCATCTACATATAGGGAAATTTTGCTATTGAAAACAATAAGTAAATCATACCTCCAGAACTATGCATTATGTCTCAATATTATCACTTTGCTACTGGAAACTAAATATAATAATGGTCAGTTTAAGTCCAAGGTTTTCTCTATGTATAGAAATCTGTTTTATTTCACTTAAAATATATTTTTTATTTATAGTATCCCTGTTTGTTGAAATATTGTAAATAAATAGAAGCTGTGAATGTTTGTGAGAGGTAGTTGCACCAGAAAATGTAGGCTGAAGATTAATATTGTAATTTAATATAAAATTTACTCATGAGCATCCTGGCAGCCAAGAAAAAGGACCATATATATATATATATATATATATATATATATATATATATATATATAGTAGAACTTATGATATTACAGATATTTGACCATTGTTTTGTACAAAATGTCAGCTCCATGTGCTTTAATCAGAGGCAGGACAGTCATGCAGGGGAAAATCTAGGCCATGCACTATAACATCCACTATATTTATTTTTGATCAAAGGCCCACAGAATAATATGAATCAGCTCGAGTAAAAAGCCCAAATATATAATTTGGTACTGATCTGACTGAAACTTTGATAGCACTTACAAAGGCAGAGTAGTGTTTTCAAAGCCAATTATCCTGAAGACTCCATATTTGGATACATAAATTATCTCAAACTAGGCTTTAGATAGAATTGTGTGGTATGTGTTTTTTTAAGTTCCATTATTTGAAGTTATAAAAATATAAAACTTAACTTAAAAATTTTTAAAGAAATCTGTTTCAAATGTAGTCAAATTCCCATATTCTAAGAGAGATGTAGGTCTTTTTTAAAAAATCACAAATATAGGTATTGTGGTTACCAGAGGTGAAGGGGGTGGGAATGGTTGAAGACAGTAAAGGGAGTCAATATATTAGTAGGATGATGGAAGGGGATTAAATTTATAAGCTCACAATGCAATATACAGATGATGTATTACAATATTGTAGACTTTAAATGTATATAATCTTATTAACCAATGTCACCCCAATAAATTTATTAAAAAGAAATATATGTATTAATGAGCTATAAAATTGCTTAGACCCATTAATAAGAGAACCCAAAACTGTGCTTACTGAGTAATCTGAAGTATTTTTTAAAATTAAGTATAGATCAATGGAACAAAACAGAGAACCCAGAAATAAACTGATGCCTTTATGGTCAATTAATGTTTGACAAATGAGACAAGAGAATACAATGGAGGAAAGACAATCTCTTCAATAAAGGTGTTTGGAAAATTGAACATGCACATGCAAAAAAAATGAAAGTAGACCACCAACTTACACCATGCACAAGAATAAATTCAAAATGTATAAAAGACTTAAATGTAAGTCACAGAACCATAAAAATCCTAGAAGAAAACCTAGGCAGTAAAATCTCAGACATCTTTCATAGCAATATTTTTGTTGCTATATCTCCTAGGGAAAGAGAAACAAAACAAACCAATTAAAAAAAATGGGACTGCGTCAAACTAAAAAGCTT